GCCCCAGCCAGTGGCCCAGCAGGCCCAGCACATACTCCCAGGGGTGGACACAACATTTCATGCACTAACTGAGCCGGGTTTCAAAGCTTTGCTGAAATGCAAACACACATGAAGAAAACAGCAACAAAAAAAGGTTTGTTTTCACTGCTCTATCCACAAAAGCTTTGTGCAGCATGATTTAATGCAGAAGCTTCCTCAGCAGCAAATAATACTTCATACACAAGTATTTCTCTTCCCGTGGTGCTGGAGCAGCAGGGTGGGAAGCAGCAGGGTTTGGTCTGTTGTCCAGCAGCAGCCCCGTGTGCTGCCTTCTCTGCGGCTGCAGGTCCAGCCCAGGGCTCCAGGTCCAGGAGATGCCACAGTCCCTCCTGCAGGAGCAGGGCACGATGCTGGGGGGTCCCAGAGGGCAGAGGGCTCTCCCTGGGCTGCTCGGTGGGCTTTGCTCCTCTTACAGCTGCTGGCTTTGGGCTGGAGGAAGGAGCATCCCGGGGTGCCCATCTGCAGGCAGCAGCCCCGGCTCTGCCGCGGGGCAGGGGCTGGCACCAGGGTCCCTGTGCCCCAGGGCAGGGCATGCTGGGGACACCTGTGCAGGGGGTGCTTGGGGGGACCTAGAACTCCTTCCGGAGAGCAACTCTGATGTTGCTGCAGATCTTGGAGAGGGCCTCGAAGAGCGGGTCGCAGAAGGTGTGGATGCAGAGGGAGTAGATGCGGCTGACGCACTGGATCTCGATCAGGTAGCTCTTGATGCAGGGCACCACTGCCCAGATGTGGCAGAAGGAGATGAGGGCGAAGAGGAATCCCCAGATGACGGCCAGGGGGATTCCCAGGAGGGCAGAGAGCAGCCGGTAGCACCAGTACTTGCTGACGGTGAAGGTGGTGTAGCTGGTTTTCCAGACGCCGTCAAAGCTGTAGGTTCCCACGGGCTCAGCGATCACATCCTCGAAATCCACCTGGGAGGAGAGAGGGAGGTACGAGGGGTTTGTGCCAGGACCGGGACTGGCTGCACGGGGAGGGGACATCCTGAATGCAGGGCTCTGGGGAGAGCCAGGGCCAGGCAGGGGACTGTGCACCCTGGAGGGGTCAGAGCCCATGCCCACCCTTTCTGAGCACGCAGGGTCAGGGGCTGCTCGGCGAGAAGGTGGTTTGTGCTGATAAAAGACCAACAGCCCTGTTGATTTATGATGTATTTAGGTGGCGGGGAGGTGCTCAGCCCTGTCTGAGCTCTGCCTGGGGGTAGTGCTGGGACGTGCAGGCACTGGGACTGTGTGTGAATGAGAAACATTCTAAAAGCCTCCAAACTTCGTGGAGAGACCTCACTGCTCTGCAGCTCATTTCCAGGGAATGTGTGAGCCAAGCTGCTTGCCTTGAAAAATAGCATGGCCTTTCCTTGGGAAGCTGGCGTGTCAGCCTGAAGGTTTATGTTAAGTTGCAACGTCTGTTCTGGTTTGGGAAACACTTGGATCATAAAATAATTCTGCATCATCTTTAATTTCCTGCAGAAATGCTGGTGTGGGTTAGGGGCCAGCAGCAAGGTGGGCTGATCCTGGGGGTCCCGTCAGCAGCTCCAGGAAAGCTCCACTGCCAGGTGGGATGGGCAGGGAGCAGCAGTTGCCCCAGATGATGAGCTAATCAGGGGATCAATTAATGAAAGGACTGTCAGGCTATAAGAGGGGAGGCTCTGCCTGCTGCTCTTGTTGGTGCTGCACCTGAAGTGGGTTTGGAGAATGATGGGGACAGAGGCTGAGCTGAGTCTGGGAATGCTACAAAGCCCTTGGAGGCC